TAACTTTTTTCAAAATAAAGTTTTAATATTATTTAAACAAAAACCAATATAGACTCTATACTCGTTCCAAAAAGTCATAAATCTATTTTTATTTTTGTTGAGTTTTGTTTTGTTTTTAATTTTTTGCGTTGTTTTCTATGTTATGTATGTATTTTGTGGTTATAGTTAAAATGTTGGTAAATTAGTTTATTAGTTTATTATTTTTGTTTCAGTAAAAACTTCAATTAAAAACAAACAAAAAAATTAAAACCGAATGTCAATTTTTACTAAATTAAAAAAAATCAATTCTATATTTTATTTCGTTTTGAAAATAATTTCATTAATTCGAAAGAACATAATCGAACATTCTATGGCATAGTTTGAACCAAATATTCAAAACAAGCACCCTAAGGGTTCTTTTGAAAACGATCTACAACAATAAACACCAAAGGGTCTTTTGAAATCAAATACATCGAAGAGGAGTATTAAATATAATAAATAATATTTGAAATAAATACTCCAAAAATTAACATCAAATTTCATTCTATCGCTTCTTTTTAAAATTTTCTTAAAAAAAGTCAATGATTTTTTTTTCAAAAATTTTCTTACAAAAATACGAATACAAAATATACTTCAAAAACATTATCAAAAAATGTATTTGCCTAAGGGCTCTCTGAAGTAATGTACTTCAAAAATCAATTCTTAAGGTTTTTTAATATTCTAAAAATGCAAATTTACAACATATGTTTATCCAATTGTCGAAGTTTTCGATAAATTTATAAAATAATACTAAAAAGGTCTTTTGAAAATAATTAACATTGAGTAAAAAATTTTCTTAAAAACAATTTCGTCTTCAAAAGCCGCCAATCAAAAACAATAATAATATAATAAACATATTTTTTGACTACCTTTTAAAGGTTGAGTGTATTTGCGACTCTGAGGCCCGCTTAAGATGCAATGCAGTTAGAAAGCGGCATTAATTTTAATTAAAATGTGCCTTTACAACATACATAAGCATTTCACAATATTTTATGGGAAAGCTCATATTTCAAGACTTGTTCCACTCACTTTTATCCTATATTTCAGAAAAGTGTTTTTTTTTTCAATGCACACCCATTTATATTAAGAGAGAACCTTGCAAATTCATTACATTAGTTTAGAATGTTAGTTACGTATGTTTAGATTATACATTTATTCGATTTGTATGTATTATCAGATTTAAAGCAAGCATGTTGCGTATGATGCCAAAAGACTTTCACATACATACACATATCGATTCATTGACAATATTGCCATTACTAATATGCTGAAGAGTTCTTCGTAAAGAGATCATGTTCGAAATTTAGCGTTTCGGTACCTTATTTAGGTAACCAAAACATGCATATCTTACAAAATGTAACTTATTACACAATTGTCCTAAAGAATAATAAAGTCTGACTGAGATATGAACTTTCAATGTCACTAACAAAATCCTGCATTTCAACAAATTCCACAAAAAAAAAAAAAGACTAATAAATTTGTTTGCTTAAATGTGGACTTTGACAATATAAACTTTCGAACATTTGTCACCAAACTATGATATAATGATAAGGATATGTAATTTTGTATGAAAAAGAACCTCCTAAAAACTTGTCCCTTTCTTTTTTTCAACATTGTCAAAATTATACTTTTTTCACGAAATCAAAAATGCGATCAATTCCTTCAAAAAAGCATCGAAAGTTTATATAAAAGGATGTTTGGTTCAAAATTGGAACACATTAATATAATACCCGAACCACTAAAGATTCGTGCCCCATGTTAAACTATTAAAATTTCAGTTTCCAATCTCTCTAACCCCCACAAAAATGATCGAAATGGAACCAAACGACATTTATTTTAAAGATCAATTTGTTATATATCGACTAGCTGAGTCGATCTAGACATGTGTGTTCGTCCGTCTATAATTTGTAAACACCATTATAATTTGTAAACACCAATCGTCACGAAATTTTGAATGAAAGGCCGGTTTTGGCCAAAGAAGACCCCTATAATTTTATATCCTCGAAATAATCATGGAAATAATAATTTCCGAGCATACAATTTTATGACGATTTAAGCATGTTCGTCTGTCTGTTGTAATCACTCTAGTCTCTAAACGAATTGAAATAGATCGCCAAAATTTTGCACAGAGTCGTCTTTTGTCTGCAGGCAGGTCAAGTTGGAATATATCGATGCACGTTTAGGCATAGTTCCCATATAAGGTTACCCGTCATTGAGCGCGTTTTTCAACCGAATTCGCTGAAATTTTGGTACATCGGGTTCTTATTGTATACAAAATCTCTTCACTAAAAATTATAAATATAGGTAATTTTTTCGGATAGCCCTCATAGCTTTCAGGGTATTATAGCTTTGTGAAGTCCGAAAAGAGTTTGTAACGTCGCGAAATATTTGTCCTAGACCCGGCTTTAAGTCTACCGATCATATCTCGACTAGCTGAGTCGATCTAGACAGGTGTGTCCATCTGTCCATTATAATTTGTTAACACGATGCAGACCACAGTTATGAACCAATCTTCACGAAAATTTGCATGTGGGATGAGTTCTGTTCAATGAAGACCCCTATTGTTTTGGTAAAGATCGGTTAATATTTAGGGGGTGAATTTTTACATGGAGAAGGGGATCGGGCCAAAGAATCAGCATGCTTGTTTTGATAAAGATCGGTCAACATTTAGCGGATCAAATCGACCCTGACTTTTGTGTGAAAAATTAAAACATTTGTATTCTATAGCGTATATATCAACCTCTGAAGGACATAGACCCGAGAAGTTGATAATATTTTCAAGAGGAGTGGTTGACCTTTAAATTGATATCAATTATATTGCAGTATGTACTCGGGTGTGGGAGATATTTACAGGTGGGTACGTATTCATATATATTATTAAGTAACCCATTACCACACTAGAGGGCGGAAATATAGTGCTGATCGCTTTGAAATTTTCCATGAGGATCCAGGTATGGTCAAGGACAATGCTAATAATTTTCGATGATGATCCGATAATAATATTGGGTAGAAATGTACCGAAAACCTAATTTTTTGTGTTTTTTCGAGTCAGATCGACTTATGGATCATAAGCCACAATTGAAAGCGGGATATCACAACACAATCCACCGTGAAGGGGATCTGGACAAGTAATTAGAAGAGCTGTACTGAATATTAGTAATATTTGTTGACCTCTAGTCGACCAAGAGGGTGCAAATATCCCAAAATATTGCCCAAGCTCAGCATGTAGTACCACAGAATGTTAGATTTTCGTGGAAGTTGTGTAGGGTATCATATGGTCGGCACCGTAGAGGATGGCATTGTGATGCAAAAATGTTAGTTTGGAAATTGAGCTGCATCAGTCCTCAATTTGGCTTAGCATCTCATATGATATGTTAACTACAAATGTTTGGTAATTCATACACGATGTAATCAGTATTGGTCCCGCATTATGTATACCCTTCAGTGACGTACTCATACAAGTTGTTTTCTGCAATGACAATTTTCATATTGAACCAGCAACTTCCGCCCAACCCCGCGAAATAAAACCTTGTTCCGTTGGTGATGGTCTCATATAACTGTGCCCTCTAAATTGCAGTATATTGGGGATGTCCCACCCTACCATGCGTCCCCAACATCGGCCTATTTGTTGGTGTCTTTAGGAAAAATCTCCATTAAAAATTGCTGAAATTTGTATTTGGTGTACAAATCGGTTTGTAGAAATGTTGGTATAGGTCCACTTTTTGCTTTGTTCCTTATATTTTTATTTCAAGTAACTGTATCGATGGTGGAGGGTATCTAAAGTTCGTCCCGACCGAACGTAACGCCTTTTTCACTTCACTTTTTTTATAATGATCGGTTAGTTTTTTAAGGATGACTAAAAACTTTATTTGTATTTGTTTTTCTGATCGGCATTAACGCTAGACAGGAGAATTATGACCCGAACCATGGAATAAGCGTGACAGTTTAGCGGGTCAAATGGTCCCAGAACTTTGTGTGAAAAATGGCAAAATTTGCAAATATAGTTAAATATTAACCACGCTCGGAATATAGATTCGCAGAAATTTAGAGTTCATTGTTAGTTGTGTAGGGTAACATATGATCGCACCCGACCGACTATACTGTTCTGTTCATTGTTCCTCATTCAATTTTACGAAGTTCGTTAGAGCATATTTCACATAGAGTATATATAATTGTGATTCGGATGCTAGCCTAAAATAGCTCGATATTTTCATTTTTGATATCAACAGAACAAAACTACAAAGTCTAATGTAACTCTACTAAAAACATTGTATAAAACCTGTATAAAATAATCAATCAATCCATATCTAAAATCATTCAATCATGGAATTAAAATTCTTGGGCAATCAAAATCCTTATGTTTTTAATCCTTAATTAGTTCCATTCACTATGGGTCTTAAATTCTAAACATGTATATCATAACAAATATACTCAAAATTCTCGTTTATAGCTTAAATAAGAGAATCAATTCAGTTATTTTTAATAAAATTAAAATGTTATGCCATAGAATAAATTAAAATAACACAAATTTAATACTACAAATTTTTCTTAAAAATCCTCTTTATGAAACCACACAACACCATAGACAATAATACGTACATAAATATTTGCATATATTATTGAAAATAATAAATAAAATACACCATTATTTAAATAGCATATCACCATTTTCATAGATTTATCTATCATAAAGTTCACAAAATAATATTCACCCAAAAATTATGCCTTCACTGTTCAAATCAAATCACGTTCACCCGAAACCCAAAACAATTCGAACTATAATTACAATTAATAAAATTAACTCCCAAAAGTATGCACTAAATTTGTTCACCTCAAATATCAAAGCGTTGGAATTTCAACAACAACAAAACACACCACACTCAACTCTTTTGCAACATTAGTGTAGCCAATTATCTTTTTTGAGGTAATGCCAACAACAACTAATTCTAAACCCCAAACATATTGTGTACCATCATACATAGGTAACCGATATTGATCTGGAAGTAAGTGCAGCAACTGGAAGAAGTCCCTCATCGGACTCTGGGCTGGGCATGACCATGACGGAAAATAAAAATCGGTACTCACAAATTTTCTAAATTTTATTTGAAAAAAGGCAAAAAATCTATGAATTTCTGAATTTTTTGTTTCTATTTCTGTTTATGATAATAATTGGACTTGGTACGATTTCTTTTTGGAATATTTGTAATAATATTGTGACTTTTTTCCGTCCCTTCCCATGCCCCAAAAGAATAATGCAACGTCTGCCCTATCGACCCATGTCAGCTGAACCGATCTTACATCGCTCATACAATCATCCAACACCATTACCACCACTGCCACCCAATTCAGGGCAGGCGGCGGCAGCA